ACAATGAAATCAAAGGATTTGAAATGAGTTAGATGATTTTGATTGATTGGGAGATTTGAGGTTGAGGGTTTGAATTAGGAAAAAAAAGATTTGAAAGATTAATTTTGAGAAGTTTAGGAAGGGTCCCATATTAAGGGGTAGAATTTTGTGGGAAAGATTTCTAGATGGAGGTGAAACCCTAATTTTGACATAAAACTAAACTCTGTAAGGAATCTGAATAGGTGAACTAACCTATAATTTTGGAATAATAACCCCGGTCAAGATGCCAATTGCATTCAATCATCCCAGGATGTCCTTCAACCATAAATCAACCATATAACTAGAATCTTCACTTAGCATCATAACAACAATAAGTGAAGAGTTTCTTAGCTAAAAGAGATTAGAGATGCATTCATCTGTAACTAAGAGATACTTCATCCTAGAGTACTTACATAATATTAATGGTTAAGATAATTTCGTTTATATTTTCTAATTCTTAGCCCTAACTAAGGTACCTATTAGTCAAACCTAGGCTCACAACAAAATCAGATCTAGAGGCAATATGACATTTTTTTTATGCGAGATTTCACTCCCAAAAACTTCAACACCTAGGTTTCACTCAAAAAAATTAAATCAATCTAATTATACAATATTTCACTCTCAAAAACTTCAAACACTAGGTTTCACAGGAAATAAATAAATAAATCTTAAAAAAAAGTTAAGAGAATTTAAGCTAAGAGCCCAACCTGAAGATAAATATGAAATAGTGAAGAAAATACACTCAAAGATGACTCCTCGGTAACCTCACAAGCAAACAAGCAAAAAAATCGAGCAACCAAGCAAGAATGTCGATCAGTCGATCAAATGCATACTCACTGAGGTGTTTATCAAAGACAAATATAAGTACAAATTAGAGAAAAAAAAATAAACAAACCCTAAGCCATCGCAAGTCGTGACCGAAAACTTTTCGCGAGAAAAAAAAAAGGAAAAATTATTCCTTGCGGACACCGCATGCAGAGATGTATGCGGTGTCCGATCTCCACTGTCGATCACCGCTTCGGTGGGATTTTAAAAAAAAAATTGAAAGTGGGTCCCACCATTTACGGTGATCTGCGGTGGAGATCGGACACCACATGCATCTCTGCATGCGGTGCCCGCATGGAATAATTTTTCAAGAGGCCGAAGTAGGAGAGGCGGGTTACCCGAAAGCTTACTAGAGAAGAAAGAGAGACCGATGACAGCAGTGTTAACGGGTTATGGGGATTAGTGTTTTTAGTTTATATATATA